TGCAAGCTAAGGGCTCCAGGTGAGTGCATATTTAATTTGTATGTATGTTATCATGCAAACATTGGCTTACGATGAGCCAGTGATGGAGTTGCTATGGTAATAAGTGACTCCTAAATATTATGAAATTTTGTGATTAATGCATATGTGTTCATTTGGTATGCTACTAGAATTAGTGAATAAGCTGAAAATATAAGTTAGTGAAATCTACCCAGATTTGTGTTCAGAATAATAAGTTTAGAAAATCACCATAAATTATATAGAAATGATTAGGAGATGATTTTTATTCTGTTGGACTTTTATATCAGTCTAGTTTTGTTAAGAACAAACAACTACTGATTTCAAGAAGTATACAAAAATATATGAATTTTTAATTGAGGATAGGTCAGAAAATAGGGCAGCAGATTTCGCTCAAAATAGTTTTTGTAAATCAACTTTGAAAATTTACTATAAATTGTACAAGATGAACTAGAAGGAGTACCTTATATGGTAAGATTTTTATTTGAGTCTAGTTTCCATTGGTATAAACATAATAATTTTAAGTGTGTACATTAATATAGAATAATATTTCTTTAAATGTAGTGTAAACTGCCAACATATAAAACTTGTCATAAATTATGTTATCATGTTACTCATATGTTATACGATATTATAAATGTTGAAATGATTCAACCTTATTAAATTTGGAATGATAATTAAGATTATTTATTTCATGACGACTATGATGTGTTTATGTTCAAGAAAGTTAATTGAGGATGATTATGATATATAAATGTTATGCGGAAATGAAATGTTTAGGGTATGAACTACCCATTATGTTATGATATGAAAAGTCATTTATATCGATATATTGTTATCTTTGATATTCAATAATGTATAATAATTAATGGAAAATCACATTGTATGTTGCATTGAGAGTCGTAGGTACACTTGGCATGCTAGGAAGTTGAGTAAAGTTCAAGTTATGGTACATTTGTGTACATTACGTATGGCACCGCTAATGCATATGATATGTTTTGCACTTGGAGTGCATCTTATGATGATGATTGGACTGTGAAGTGTCTAGTGCGCACATTATGTATGACTCAAGTACCTTGCATTCTCATAAATATGTATTACGCTATGAACTTGAAAATAAGCTATAAATCTGAAATAAGTTTTGAGTCCGAAAACAAGTTCTGAAATGTAAAAGTACGGATTATGAAAATGAATTGTGAAAGTGAATATGAAAGTAAAAGATGAAAATGAGATATAAAAGTTTTGTATTGTATATAAATGAAAAAGAATATGATATGACTATTGTGATATGACTATTATGTATACTATTGTTTATCATGGCTTTGATATGACTATTATATATGATATTTTTTATCATGGTTTTGATAAAATCATGAGATAATGATTTTCTGGTCCTTAATGAGGACAAATGGCGTGAATAAATCGGTTTGGATATTTAGTGTTTTTATTTGAATTTAAGTTAATGTTTTAAATTGTTATGATATTATTAAGTTTAATATAAGTGAATATGTTGTTTAGATGTTGCTAAATTGTTTGGTATTTATATCACTTTAGTTTGTTTATAATGCCTCAATAAGTGTGTATACTTAAGTGTGATGATTTTCACGCGTAGGTAAAGGAGAGTAAGTGAAGTAAGGAGCTGAGTAGGCATCAATCAATAAAGAAAAAGTTTCAGGTATCAGTAATGACAGCCTACTATTTTTAATTTTCTAGATGACATATATACGAATAAGAAAAATCTAAGATATGTAATTATGGATATAAATATGAATTTAAGTTTTGTGTTTTAAATAAAAATTATATTTTGACAAAGTAAAGAAATATTTTAAATTAGACAGTAATTAGATAGTGTATCGTATGATATAAAACAATATAGAATTGTCTAGTTGTTACTTGAAACTGATATTGATTTAGAGGCTTAAATACTATAATATGATTTTACGTGATTGCATTATTTATTGAAAGGGTTAAATTGGATGGATTTTAAAAGTTCAAAATTTTGCTAGATTTCAACCTTATAATGTATATAAAGCTATGTGATATCTTTTACTCGTATTCGAGTACGTATACGTGTTAAGGGTGTTACATTTTTTAGTATCAGAGCTACAAGTTTAATCGATTCTAAGCCTAAACGAGTTTGTTTCAAGGTATGATATAAAACATATAGAATTGTCTAGTTGTTACTTGAAACTGCTATTGATTTAGAGGCTTAAATACTATAATATGATTTTACGTGATTGCATTATTTATTGAAAGGGTTAAATTGGATGGATTTTAAAAGTTCAAAATTTTGCTAGATTTCAACCTTATAATGTATATAAAGCTATGTGATATCTTTTACTCGTATTCGAGTACGTATACGTGTTAAGGGTGTTACATTTTTTAGTATCAGAGCTACAAGTTTAATCGATTCTAAGCCTAAACCGAGTTTGTTTCAAGTCAAAAAGTGTATACATGCCGCTAAGATGTCATTATTACTGATATGATGTTTATGTGATTTGATTGATGCCACTCCTTTCTAACGAAAGTGGATAAGTATAGTACATGTATAAAATGTCTAAAATAGAAGGTTTAAGGTAAATGATCGAATAAAAGGTTCGAGAATAGGAAAATGGTGGTAATAATATAGTTAATCATAATCCTCCTGATTAATTTGATTAATATGATGCACCAACACAATAGGAAGTTCCAGTGTAATATTAAGAAACACTTATTCATCTAAAAGTATCGCATTGATTAAAGAAAGGGATAATCTGATAAACTATACCCTAAGTGATATGTGCACGATAACCCTTTAGGCCAGAGTGTGAGGGTAAGTCGTATTTGCAGACAGTAACTGTCTGTTAAAGGTTCAAAGTGTTGAGTATTGACGAACTTGATAGAATTACCTTTAGAAAGTAATTTTTGGCATGGATTGGTTGCTTCTCACCATGCCATAATGAATTATCGCTTAAAACAATTGATTTAAAGAACTTGAAAGGTTATGAGATTGTAGCGGTAAGTAAATATGTTAATTGATGTGATTTTAACAGTAATTGTCAAGAAGTGATTGCTACAAAGTTGTTAAGTCTTCTTAATCAATGTGAAGGATATGCAAAATTTCAAGGTTAGGCTGGAAGATATTCCAACTAATTGAGAGTATTAGATATGTTTCTAAAAGAATTATCTAGATTACAAGATGTTACCAGGTACTACGTTTATTTCTATAGCCTCGAATTGAGTGGCTCTGAATGAGCCTAGTGAATTAAAGGCATAGTTATTAGGATTGTTAAGATCCAGATCAAGCGTGTCATCTGGGATGCACCAATGTTATTTTTGAAAAAGAAATACGAGTCTATGCAATTACGTATAGTACTTGTTTCTAACAATTTTGAAGTAGTTATTTTTTGCTCAACGAGTCTCACTATCAAAGTACATTTTTGATTTGTTCAAACTCGAGACTATAGACAAACAAATTATCATTGTTGGTCTCAAAGAATGTCATCTTTTTCAAACAACTAGAAGTAGGTTAAATATTGTTCAGCCTACTTGTTATTGTTGAAGTCGTGGAATAGGTGAAATTTCAGATGACTAGCGAAAAATCATTAATGGAACAAGTTCACTTCTACCAAAAAAAAAATAGTCTTTGATATATCCTTCAGGCTAATATTCTGTCAGTAAGCCGTGAAAATCTTGGTTCGGTTATCAAAACCTTCTAAAACTAACGGAGCATGATATTTTATTAGAGGAGTTTATCTGCCACATAAAATCAAAGAGGCAAAACCGTATCTTCTGATCCCAAAAATAATAAGTTCGAGAAATCAACCAACTTTAAAAAATAAGGAGCAAACCAAAAATTCTCTGTAAGTTGCTTCGTATGTGAATTCTTTAAATCAAAATTTTCATTTTTTTCATATTTATTGAGTTTTTCCTCAAAATATTATCCCTTTGATCAACTTCGTCACTACTCTAACTCATGATGTTTAAGATATTGTTATAAAATAAAAAATATTTTTAATTTATTTTATAAAATTTAAAGATTATTTATAATATATATTAATTTATATATTAATTTTAAAAATATATTATTTTATAATTATTTATAAAATTAATAAATAAAAATAGTATATTTATAAATATAATCAATCTCATCTTGATTATTTATAAATAATATATAAATATATTTTATAAAAATAATACATAAATATATTTTTTAAAGATTAATTATAATATTTTAAAATTATAATTCCATTCGTCATTAATATAATTAGAACAAAAATAAAAAATTTATATTTTAATTGAAGCAATTAGAAACTCAATAATATATATAAATAATATATCACATAAAATTTAATGATATATGGTTTAACTTATCTTCATATATATTATAATTTTTATAGGGATATAAAGATATCCTTTCGTCAGTTTTGTTAGCTTATCCATAGTGGAAATCGTTTTAAAAAATTTAATAAATTATTATTTTAAATATTTACTTTAAAAAATATATATCATTTTAATATTTTTAATTCGTTAGAAAATATTAACAACAAAATTAGAGTCTAAACTGAATTAAAAATTAATTTTTATATTTTAATTAATTATAAATATTAAATGAATTTAGTTAAATTCGTTTAATAATATGAAGTTAACTTTCCGATAGGTTTTCTTAAATGCATTTAAAAAAATTATCTTTTGTTGTTTAAATATTAATGTAGTTTTTTATATTTTTATTTATATTATGTCATTTTTAATAAATTTTATTTTATTTTTTATTTATAGGGAGAATATAGTATAATATTTATTTATAAGGATAATATAAAATCATGTTAATAATTAATTGAAAATATTAAAAATATAAATTTGAATTCAGTTCGGACTCTAATCCATTATAAATAGGCCGATGGAAAAACTTTTGTTTATTTATATTATTTTCCAAGCAAATTATTTTTACCCTACAAAAGATTATAAATAGGCCGATAGAAAAACTTTTGTTCTCTAGAATCGACATGGAAAGAGATTTCGTCAAATCACTGCCTCCAGGCTATAAGTTCAAGCCAACAGACGAACAGCTGGTTGATTTTTACTTGAAAAGGAAAGCCTACAATATACCATTGCCACCCGTTAACCTCTTTAGGGAAGTTGATCTCTACAAGTATGATCCTTATACTCTTACAGGTTTGTCTAAAACCCTAATTTCCTTTTTCATTACGATTATGTTGTTTTTCTTCATATATATGTTTTTATATCATTTTGCGATAATAATAATTTTATTTTCATGTTGTCAGAGATGAGTGATAATGCATCGTCGTGGAATGGCATAACAACGGAGTGGTATTTTTTCTCACCTAGAGATCGTAAATACCCGAAAGGCTCGAGGCCTCGACGAAGAGCCGGTGATGGGTACTGGAAGGCAACTGGAAAGCCTACTCCGGTCATCTCCAGCGATGTGGAAGTCGGATCCAAAAGAAGTTTGGTCTATTGCAGAGGTAAATCACCTAACGGTGAAAAAACCGATTGGATCATGCATGAGTATGTGTTAGCCCAAGCTCCACCAAGACAAAGACTTAACGACCAAGACATGCAGGTAAGTGTAACCTACTTTTCCCATTTTTTAAATATATGAAAAACTTTGAAGGATAATCGTTTTTAACACTTATTTTCGATTTTTTTTCCAAGCTTGATTGGGTGCTGTGCAGAGTATATAAGAGGAGGGAACCAAGGTCAAAATCTGGAACCCCAGTTGAAGGATGCAATAATAAAGAACAAGAGGAAAATGGAATTTCATCTGATGCCTTGAATACGGTGATGCCACGACAAACTATTTCAGTGCCTTTTTCCAATCAATATAATGATTATGTGTTCCCACGGTATACAGAATCTTTTGGTGCTGGTACAATGCCTGCTCCATTGGCATCAATGCCTCCTTATCATCAGTTTCAACCGAAAGTTCTGCCGTCGCATCAGTTTTCCGGTGCCGGACCTATCAATTTGAATTTCACAACGCCTTATGAGTTCATTGTAGATGTACAACAAGAGGACGTCGACAATGGTGCAGTTAATGTAGCTCAGAATAAAGGCCAAGTGCTGAAAAATGGTTCATTTGTGCTCCAACAGAATTCAGAATCTTTCGGTGTTGGGACAATGCCTGCTCCATTGGTATCAATGCCTCTTTATCATCATTTTCAACCGGAAGTGCCACCGTTGCAGCATTTCTCCCGTGTCGGACCTAGCAATTTGAATTTCACAGTGTCTGATGGGCCCATCTTAGATGTACAACAAGAGGACTTCGACAATGGTGCAGTTAATGTATCTCAGAATGAAGGCCAAGTGTTGGAAAATGGTTCAGTTGTGCTCCCACAGTATTCGGAATCTTTAGGTGTTGGGACAATGCCTCTTTATCATCAGTTTCAACAGCAAGTGCCACCGTCGCAGCATTTTTCCGGTGCCGGACCTATCAATTTGAATTTCACAGCGTCTGATGGGTTCATCTTAGATGTACAACAAGAGGAAGTCGACAATGGTGCAATTGTAGCTAAGAGTGAAGCTGGAGTGATGGAAAATGGACCTGATGCCTTGAATACACTGATATCTTTTCCCGGTCAATTCGATGACTATCTGCTCCCAGGGTATCCAGAATATTTTGATTCCATATAAGGAGTAAACCCTACATGTTACGGTTGCCAAGAAACTGTTTTTGATTATTTTAATTTTACCCCAACACCTACTCCATTGGCATCAATCTCTCCTAACGATCAGTTGCAACTTCTTCACTTTGAGCCGCAAGAGGCCGATGGGTACATTTTAGATTTCGAACAATAGAATGTTGATGATCATGCAGTCGTAGCTGAGAGTGAAGCTCAAGTGTTGAAAAATGGGATTCCAAGTCCTACAAAACGTAGAGTTTGATGTTCATGCCTTGATAGTGCACGGTGATGCCACGGAAACAAGTTTAAACAAGAGTAGATCAAGTTCAGTTTAGATATTTAGTGGGTTCTCTCCTTTGAAACATTGTTATAAAATTATTCTAATATTTGTTTAGGATACTGATTTAGGGTATAGACCCATTAATTGATTTAGGATATGCATTTGTTGAGCTTATAAAGAATGTTGCATAATAAAATTATTTAAATCATTTTACTCCAATGTGATTACATATATTTAGGGTATTCATAATTGCATATTTGTATTTATCTTACTATTCAAGTTGCATATATTTAATTTGTAGTGTAGTACGAATAAAATGACATTCGTGTTTAAAGAATTATTATTATTCATTGATGATCCGAGTTCGAACACCATAGATGTTATGGGTCTTGACCTTCAATGTCAAAAAGATTGAGAGTTATATTGAACAATATTACCTTGTACTTACCCAGAATAATAAAAAAGGATTTAGTGTAACTAAAAAAATTGTACATGTTTCGACTTGTAAAGGGTATTGAAACATCCTGTATTTCGTGTCAATTGAGATGAGTCGACTCGAGAGGCTTACAAAACAATGTAGGGCAAATTTAAGTCTAATTAGACTCCAAATAATTATAAAAGGGGAATTTTGAATTGAGGAAATAGAATAATACGAGCTCCTTAACTACTCAAGTTAATTAATGAATTTCTATACCCAAAACATATGAATTAAAAAGTGAACGGATGAAATGGGGAAGTTATCTTATTTATCATGTAAATTAAAGCAATGACCAAGTGTAATTTAGGGTACGTTTGTTTAACGTAAAATGTTTTTTAGAAAATGTTTTTCTTTTTTTCCAGTGTTTGGTTAGAGGAAAAACTGGTTAGTCAACGTAAAATATTTTTCTAGTCAACATAATTTCCTTTGTGTTTTCTGAAAAATGACTTACGATTTGATTTTACGTAAGTCATTTTCTGAATTTTTCACTTCAAAGAATAAATACTCAAAATAATTTTATGTTATGAATTTAATATTCATAAAATATTTTAATATCATTTTAATCAAAATATTAATTATTAAAATATTGAAAATATATTTATTAATATTTCTAAAAATATAATATTATATTTTTATTTTAATAATATATAATAAATTATTAATAAAATTTATATTATTTATTAATTTCATAGAAATAATATTATTAAATAATTAATAATGAATAATATTATTTATATATTTAATATTAATATAATAATCTAATAATATTTTAATAAAGATATTTAAAATATACTAATTAATATTTTTAAAATATAATATAACATTATTACTTTAAAAAATAATTAATATAATTTATAATATTTTTATTTCAATAAAGTATACCAATATTAATATTTTTATTAATAAAATTATAAAAAAAATATTTTAATAATAAATAAATAATTTTAATATTTTAAAAATAATAATATTAAGTTTTATGATAAATATTATTATTTATTGTATTTTAATATTTGTAATAAATAATTTTTAAAAAATTCATCAACTAGTGGAAAAAGGGTTTAAACAACATCTTCCATACATCGTAAAACACTTTTCAAAAAATATTTTTCAGAAAATATAATTTATTTTATTTTCAATGAAACAAAAGAACCCTTAATATGAATAATGACAAGAAAATAAGAAAATGGCATTAAAGGGCCAAGAGAGGTTATTTTCTTTGGGAAATGTAACAACTCAACCCGTACCCGACCCGGATACGAGTCCGAGATGTCACATTGACATTTCAAAACCTTTATTCTTGCAAAATAACAGAACATTTGAACTTATAATAAGAAAATACGATCATATATTGTTCAATTGTGTTTGGTATAAAATTTTGAGATAAAAATGTATTTATGAACAGTAAAATACGGTATGAACAGTACCACGAACAGTAATGAACAGTACTACAGTGCATCGATGCATTACTACAGTGCATCGATGCGTCAAAAATTTGATGCACTGCTACAGTGACTTTCGTAAAACGTTCATAAAACTCGTAAAATTTAACCGTTCATTACTATACAATTGTCATTTACATAAACACGTTTAAAACATTACAAAACTCAATCGTATAACTTTTCAAAACCGATTAAAACATATCGGATTTAATCATTTACTTACATGCCAGCCACTTTCCTTATTACAAAATACATATTATACATTTCTTTTTTAATCTGATCTTTGGAAAGGAGAACTGACTTGTCTTGCTTAGCTTTTATCATTCTTCTTCTTCTCGGAACCTACGTGTGAACCAATCACACGCTAAGTCTATGACTTAGTGAGGCATATAAAACATATAATAAAAATAATGCATTTCATCACACGCTAAGTCTATGATTAGTGAGGCATATAAAACATATAATAAAAATAATGCATTTCATATCCATATTAACATATCTTATTCATTCAATCATGTCAATATGATTCCATGTAAATAATAATAGCATGATAACATGTAATAATGCAAACACTTTATACTTTTGTAAGCCCATGACATTACTGAGAACTCAAGGTATTCGAGTACATTGAGGTTGTGCACTATTGCTGTCACCATAGCTCGTATGGGGTCCCACTAGGGGCTATGAAATTTTGTCCCGAAGGACCTATGTATTGTATTTGTCCCGAATGACCACTCCTTAAGAACTATATACATATTCCAATGGATCAAATATGTCTCAAAAGACCCTGTAAATGTTCCAAAGGATACATATTCATCCCGAAGGACCACGTAGAACCCTCGACTCTTGGCATGCCAACTATACCTATAGCTCTCGTATCATATACCATGGGCATTATTCTTGTTTTTCATATGTTCATGTACTCATGTCATTTTTATTGTGATAACATATACCTTTTCTTCTGTAACATACTGCATGTATGTGTAAACATCTATGTCATTTCATATAACATGTAATACATATTGCATATTCACGTAAGCATGTTGATCATGTAATATATATAATAACCTATACCCATTTCATGTATTCATGCACATATAAGAATAACAAATCAAATAACATTTTAGGAGTTACTTCTTACCATAGTAACTCCGTCACTGGCTCATCGTAAGCCAATGTTTGGTCAATAACATAAGTACAATTTCAATTACACTCACCTTAGCCTTGCTTTGATTCAATCCTAATTCTTTGATTGTTCCGAAACTTTTTAGGCTCAATACCTACATAAACATAATTTCCACAATGATTTTCAGAAGCCTAAACCTTATAACTTGATATTACTAACTTAAGTTAATCTAATAAACCAAAAATTCACTTTTCCTTTAGGAGTGTATCGATGCACTATGGGTGCATCGGTACACAAAATAGCTTCGAAATATCCATGCATCGATGCAGCCCTTAATGCATCGATACACCTTCAAAATTTATCTTACTGCATCGGTACACACTCATAGTGCATCGATGCACCTTCCCAGAAAATTATTGTTCATGCACGAAAATTCACTATATCAACTTAAATTCTTCATGTTTCATTCTCTTTCGTATTCTTAACTCAAATATACATACTTAAACTAATTTATATCCATTTATTTCATCTTAAACCTCAAAATTCTATTTTCCATATAGAAATCAATAATCATACCAAATTTTCCATGTTATCCGAACTTAATTCTAACACTTCTAACTTCTTATTCTCATAGACAAGTTAAATTCAACTTCAAATTCAACTTATCAACTCTTTTCCATAAATTCTCTTAAAAATCCATTTTATTTAATCTAACATAACTCCTTTATCTTTTGATTTTAAGACAACTTAAGCTTTCCTTAAGCTTAGTTATCATCTAATGATAAAAACCCAAACATTAAATCAACAAATAATCAACAAATTCGAAAACTTACCTTTGCAAGCTTGGTTCTCTCTTTCTCTCGTATGATGAAGAAGAAGAAGATGAAATGGAGAAAATATCTCCTCATCCTTATCCCACATGCCTATATATAATTTATTTATCATTTCAATGTCCAATGACCATTTTGCCCTTTTATTCTTTTAATAATTACTAACAACTTTCCAGGAATATCACCACATAAATCATTAAACTATTCAACTATTCTACTTTTATCCCCAAATTCTAAAATTTTACAATTTAGTCACTAACCCGGTATTTAGGATGTTACAAATCTTCCCTCCTTTTAAGAAAATTTGTCCTCGAATTTTCATTGTACATACCCACAAGAACATATCTTTTAATGTTCTTATATTGCTTTCACAACTTACTATTTCCTTCCTTTAGTTCTTTAACTAACTTTTTCCTTTATTCATTCATCAACTGTCACTTATCATATAAACAGTAACCAGTAATCTCATCCATTTTTTTCTCCTGTGATTCTGTATTTTCCTTTGATATTTCTAAAATTCATATAATGTTACTCATCACGTAGACAGTAACATCCATTCTCATCACTCCATATCATAAATCAATCTATTTCTTCATTAATCTCCAATTACCTTATCACAATACCAACCTTTTATTCCATTATCATTTGACCAAAACACGACTTTAAATCTTCTTCAATTGTGATTAAACATATACTTTATGGAATTCAACAATCTTTTCACATCACTTTGCACACTTTTCGTATTTCTATATCGAACTTATCATTTACACTTCCATATAACCTTTATCATTCTTAACCCTTTAATTTCCTTTTTCCATTTAAGTTCCTTATCCCTTTACTCTGTCATAAATCAAAAT